GGTTTTGCTTTCTGCAGTGGGCCGGAGGAACCTAATGTTTCTATGTGCAGCTGAGTCTCCACAACGTACCATGGCAAGTTTCTTGTGGCCTATAATCTATTATTTACCCCTGGGCTATGGCATTTGTAAGTTCAATCACTGAAAAGGGGAGCCAGAAACAGAAGAGAAGAAAAGCCAAAGGGACTGACTGGTAAGAAGGCTCAGAGAGTAAACACACTTGCCATGAAGCTTGATGACATGAGTTCAATCCCCAGCACCCAGATAAAGGTGGAAGGAGAAAACCGCCATCTGACCTCCACACACATTGGCATGCATGTGTTCACATAAACATATCAAACACATAAATAATAATAATAATAGTACCTTTTAAATAAAAAGGCAAGCCAAATTAAGAGATAAGGAGTTTATCTGAGTCATAGAATTACGGCCATTTGTTCTGTGCTTGACAGTTCCTTCAATCTTTACTTACTCAGGGCCACCAAAATATCCCGTGTGGATGCCATTGACACATAGGCTGCAAGTGAATTTACCAAAATGAAAACATGAAAGTGAAGAATTTATTAAACACACTGCTGAACAGCCACAGCCAGCTTGCTGAGAAGGGATCACAACATACTAGAGGTCTTTCATAGCAGTTGGGGGGAGATAAGTCTTATTTCACAGGTAATTTATGGGGGTCCAAATCTGAGGGGACAGAATGACTTCTATCTTTTTTTTTGAGGGGGGGTCTTTTTGAGACAGGGTCTCCCTGTAATGGGGACGGCCTAGAACTCACAGAGACCCGCCTGCCTCTGCCTCCCGAGTGCTGGGACTAAAGGCGTGGGCTACCACGCCTGGCCTTTAAAAGCACTTTTCCTCAGGTGGGGCCAGTCTCTCTCCAGGGGAGGAAGCTGGGCAGGCTGGGAAGTCCTGCAGTCTGGCTGTGAAATCCGCTCTTCGGAGTCTGTCTTTGACCTCTAACCTGCGTGGAAGGAGATGCTTCACCTGCCACTCAGACTCCAGAAGGCAGGCCCATGGACTGTTGGCCAATCAGAGAGGACGTTTGGTGCTGTGTCAACTGTCCAATGAGGAGTTTGGGTCTTTGGTGACGGAGGCTGTACAGCATTTGGGGTGCCATTGTGTGTCCCCGCCATATTGGCATCCGGTGTGTTATTCTGAGATTCCCAGATCTCTCCCTCGGCCTCTGCGTCCCTCCACGGACTGCAGGAGCCACAGGAGCCCAGGACTCCGTCGCTGGAAATGGTGCGTGCGGCCGGGCGTCCTCTCCTGGGTGTCGCGCCGAGGCTGCTGCAAGCGGAGGTGGGGACGCGGCCTCCCCGCGGCAGCTCAGTCTGCGGCTGAGTCTCCTCTGGCTCGGCTGGGCCTCGCTCCCGGGTCCCGCTGGGTGGAGCTGGGCCAGCAGCAGAGCCGCGGACCTGGGCACTGCTGAGCGCTCACTGCAGCGGCCCCTCTGCGCAGCTGGGCGTCCACATAACCGGGTGTCCGCAGCCTGGGCGGTGGGGGCGGAGGGTCGTGGGAGACTCGGGACTCGGGTGGGGTCGCGTGGGAGGAGCCGCGGGGTGTGCTGACCTCGGGTCCTGAGCGTTTTATGTCAGTAGCAGACAAGCACGTTTGTGGCTTTCCACAATCTCAAAATTTGTCGACTATTCAAAATTCGCAGGGATTGTCAATTTCGGTGGCAGTACTTTGCCAAGCCTGATTCTGCTTGCTAGATGGCCGTTGGCAACCAGGATTCTTTTATTCCAGTCTCAGTTGCTAATATTAACTGGCAGATTACACATAAACGTTTCACACAACACACAAATTTGCAGGGTGTAGAATGACCAAGAAAGAGCTAAAGAGGATGCAGAGTTCAGAGTCTGCGCTGAATTGGAGACAGCTACTCAGACAGGCTCAGGGAAAGTCTGTAGGGGTCCACATAAGAAGCCTTAGCAGTGCAGGCTCAGGGCAGACTGTTATAGATGGTCAGTTTAAAGAGGGTGAGTGGCCTGGGCAGGACAGTGGGCACTGGAGCTGAAGATGGAGACAGGCAGGAGTGCTTGCCTTGGGACAGTTTCCTGGCTCTTGACAGTTGTTGTTGTGGCCTCTCAGTGTTCCCTCCACACTTTAGTCTTGGGGTGCTCCTTCATAGTCTCTTATAAGGGGTTACATTTGGTGTGGTTGGTCAGTTAGCCTGTAAGGTGTTTTTTTAAATAATATTTTGTGTATTTTCAGGTGTCATTTATTGACATAAATAATTCATTTTTTGTCTCACAGTGTGTTGCCAGATGGTGGTTGTTTGCTGGATACACAAGATGTAGTCTTCTTTTTTGGCACTGATACTCAAAATGAAATAAATCATTGCAAGGTTGTTGCTTAATAGTCATTTTAGGCTTGGCACAGCCAGAAAGCTGTTACTCCCCATGCCATAGAGTAATTCTGAGCATCCCTAGCCTGTCTTCCTCACCCTGTAGCACCTGCTTTTCCTGAATCTTGTGAATTCAAGGGAAGTTTCCTCTAACTTCCATAACCTGTGTCCTTAGGCCAAGGATTCTTAGAACTCAGAATAAATCCCCGTCTTTCCAAGTCCTCCTAACATTGCCAGACACTTTGGAAAGGGGATCCACGTGCATGGGTGGTGTCGTAATTGTTACTGTCCTTGGATTGCTTCAAATCATTTAAAAATGCAAAGTCCTAATGGAGTTATTGCTTTAGCCTATGTGTTAGGTCCACAAGCTTCCCTAGGGTTAAGCTGAAGAGGGCTGTACTCTCTTAGGGAGGAGGAAACAGTTGAAAACAGGGATAAGCAGGAACAAATAGAAACTGTGAGAGCTGAGTGTGAGCTAAGGTGGCACAGTCAGTCTGCAGATGAGAGAACAATTTTCTCAGGTCATCCTGTCTTTAGGGTTACAGTCATTCACCTGGCGTATGCTGGCTCAAGCTGGGGACTGGTCAGAGATCACAGGCCTAGAGCAAGGAGAGAAACTTAAAGGGAATTTTCCCTCATAAGTATTTTGTTTCTCCTGATCAATTCACATATTCAGTGTTGAGGCAAAATGTGGGAATTTTAAAGGCCTTATTTGGGTTGAAACTTAAAGTTTATAGTAAGATGTCTCCTAGGTCACAAATAAACACAATCAGATGATGATGATGATGATGATGATGATGATGATGATGATGATGTTATTTAAACACTGCCATAACCAAGATTTTAGCATTTAGGTAAAATTCTGTATTTCCATGATTTTGATTTTGCATCCACTGTGGTGTTCTGTTCACACTGTACTGAAGAAAGGAATGTTTGGGGTTTCTGATGGATGTGTAGTGTAATAAAGTACATGGTCTTTGCCCCACATCTTGGCACAGAGATTCCAAAGCTCTTGGAGGTACCTAGGCAGTAGACATTTCTTTCATAAGCCATTTCCAGGCAGTGTCTGAATTTATGCTGGTGAATAAGAGTGTATTTAATAAACTTAGCACAGCTTTACAAATGAAGTGACTCTCTTGTCAAAATGTGGCAGTTGTCTTTGTTGTGTTCCATTCTCAGTGGTACCTGAGGTGGGAGTCTTTCAGGCCCTAAGTTAGCCTCCCTTTGATACCTAAATGTTTGTTTTATTCTGTTATCTCAGAAACAAAACAGTCTCACTAGCATTCTGTGTGCTTACACAGTCCATTAGGAAAGATAATCTCCCCTCTGCACACTTTTTTTTTTTTTTTTTTTTTTTTCAACATAAAAAAAAGTGTCAGCACAAAGCAACGTATGTTTGAACCTCCTTGTTTCTGGCATTTGAGCAAAAACTGACTTGTCAATCCTTGAATGGTTATTGATCCTGATACTGTTTTTATTTAGGATTTCAATTTAATTTTTATTTTTAATTTTGTATCGTGTATATTCATGTGAGTGAAAGTGTCACATCCCCCCTGGATCTGGAGTGACAAGCTGTGATGAGCCCCCTCAACTAGGTACTGGGAACTGAACTCAGGCAGGTTCTCTGCAAGAGCAATGCCTGTATGTGCTCTTAACTGATGAGCCATTTCTCCATCCTTTCAAAAAACATTTTTTATTGCGTGAGTGTATTGCCTGCATGTATGTAAGTGTACCTGTGTTGTGCAGTGCCCAAGGAGGCCAGAAGAGGGTGTTGAATCCCCTGGAACTGAAGTTATGGATGGTTAACTGCCTGTGGGTAGTGGGTCCTATGCAAGAGGACCATCTTCCCAGCCCCTCTATCCTTTGTTTAAATCTTTTTTTTTTTTTTACTTCATGAAGCTCAGATTTTAGATTATTCTGATAAACTATACACCTATTTGTGGAATCAAATATCCTTGGGGCCTGTAATCCATAGCTTAATGTAATTAATTTTGGCATTTCTCTCCAAATGGATAGACTCATGCAGCTGCCTAGCAGTTGATCCCACTAAAGTAGTGAGAGGAATAAACACTGTGTTACCAGGAGCAGAACAGTTTCCTAACAGTATCTCATTGATATAAATAGGACTGGATTTTAGGATTTTATTAACAGATTGCTGATTTTTTTTTGACCTTAGAAATTTTTTTGTTTTTGTTTTGCTTTGAGAGAGGGTCTCTGTGTAGCCCCTCAACTTGCCTGGAAATCACTGTAGACCAGGATGGCCCTGATCTCACAGAGATCTGCCTGCTTCTGCCTCCTGAGTACTGGTATTAAAGGTGTGCACCACCACACCAGCCTTAGAAATGTTAATAGCCTTTAATTACAGCCAACTTAGTCATATCCATGGCATCTCTTTTTTGTTTTACCATTCATGGTGTGGGCTAAGGACTCAGTGTGTAAAGAAATTGCTGTCCAAGTTTGAGAACCAGAATTCACATCATCATAACCCACGTAAATGTGGGCATGCTGGAACATGCCTATAACCTAGCTGGAGGGGGAGGAGTGATGGTAGATAGAAACATGCAGATCCTGGGGTGCTCCGTAGCCAGCCTGTGTACCTGAAATAATGAGTTCTGGTTTCAGCAAGAGACCCCTTCTCAATATACAAAGTGGAGAATGACTGAAGAAGATATCCAACATTCACCTCTGTTCTCCACACATCTGCATGCACACCACACACACATACCTTACAAAAATAAAAATCTCACAACTTGTTTTAAAGATTTACTGTGTGTGTGTGTGTGTGTGTGTGTGTGTGTGAGCGTGAGCATATATGCCATGTGTGTGCTGGTGCCTGTGGAGGGCAGAAGAAGGCATCAGAGCCACTGAACCTGAAGTTACAGGTAGTTGTGAGCTGCCAATATGGGTGCTGAGGACCAAACTCGGATCTCTGGAAGAGCAGCAAATGATATTAACTGCTGTATCGTCTCCAACTTTTCACAATTTTGTTTATTTTTTATGTATATGGGTGTTATACCTGCATGTAAGTATACCTGTGTCATGCAATGCCCAAGAAGGACAGAAGAGGGCCTTGGATCCCCTGAACTGGAGTTTTAGATGGTTGTTTTAGGGTACTGGGATTTGAACCTGGGTCCCCTGCAAGAACAGCCAGTGCTCTTAACCACTGAACCATCGCTCCAGCCCCTCACAATTTTTGACAACATATTTTCACTTTCTGGTTTTGTCATTATTGTCATCAATGAGGGAACAGAGGCATAGCTCCACTTCATGCCCCAAAGAGTTCCTTTTTCCTTAGGGACTACCATTATGGAAAACAAATTCATGGGTTTGACAGAGCATAGAATTTCAGGGTAAGCCAATAGGATGCAAAGTTGGAGATTTTGTTATGAAAAATCAGCAGCCAAAGTCAGATGAGGAGTGGGAGTTTAATTTTACCCTAGTGAGACTGACACTGGATCATTCTGAAATGGGGCCACCATCTAGCTCAAGTTTTGGGGGGCATTTGTGAAGAATGCAAGCAAAGAGCAAATAGCATATATGTGATAATTAAGGAAGTGGCTTACAGGTTACAGGAATGTGGCACTTTTTGGAAAACAGAGACTTCTATCCTGGCAAAAATTATAGGAATGTGGCAATTTCGGAGAACAAAGACTTCTCTCCTGGGTAGTGGCAGGGGGCAGGGGAAGATTCCTATTCACCTCCCCCATTTCTATTTCCAGTCTGGGGCTTTTCCTGCTCTGAAATTTTTAGCAATCATCTTAAGGGTTTCATTACCATCACATTGTTCTTGAAGAGGACCTAGGTTCTGTTCCCAGTACCATGTGGTGGCTACTCACATTGGAAGAGATTTTTGGCAACTATCTGATGTGCTTTTTATTTCCACTGTATAATAGAATGCAAATTTGGGGATTTATTAAGAGACATTTTAAGAATTTTAAATGTTACATTTATT